TGAGCTGGTGAACTTGTGAAAGTTGGCTCCTAAGTTGAGAGAAGAGATGGAGACAAGTTTGTGTGAGCGTGAGACATTTTCAAAGGCCTTTTCAAGATCTAGACCGAGAATACCTCTAACGTCTTTTGTCTCCTGATCTATGATGTGATGCTTCAGCATTTTCATGACATCCTGAGTAGATAGGTGTGGTCTAAAACCTACCATGTTGTACGGGAATATGTTAGTCTTCTCTATGTGCTCTGATATTTGATCGTTGATGACATGCTCGGCGACCTTGCCTATACAGGACGTCAGTGAAATGGGTCATAAGTTGCTAAAACTGGGACTTCGGCCAGGTTTTGGTATGAGAATAACCGACGCCCTTTTCCATTGCTCAGGGAAAGTCCCCATCTCCCAAATACGAATAATTTCTTTGGTGAGCTAGGTGACAGAGTCATCGTCTAAATTGAGTAGTGTCTTGTTTGTAATGCCATCCGGTCCCAGGCTGGAGTATCCATTAAGATTGTTTAAGATGATCCGGACCTCTGCTTTCCGGAAGGACTTGTCCAACTCGAAGGCTGGTGATCCCGTGTATTGCGCGTAGACAGAAGGAGGCCGGGTTGTGTCCAAAGAGAGGTATCTCTGTGCCAGACACTTCGTTATTTCCGTGTCCAATTTAACCTTCGTTTCTACGGCGAAAACAAGAAAAAATAATAAATGAGAAAGCTATGGCATACAAAGATAACACAGCGTAACCACGCAGTGAATGATGATGAGTGGAGCGAAACGTCCATTCGTCCGTCTGTGCATCCGTCCATCCGTCCGTTTGTCCTTGCATCTGTCCGTCCATTTGTGCGTTCATCTGTGCGTCCATCTGTCGGTTTATCCAATCGTGCGTCTATCCGTCTTTCTCTCTGTACATTCATTCTTCCGTGTGCCCATCCGTGCGTACATTTGTTCGTCTGTGTGTCTGTGCGTCTGTGTGTCGTACATCCGTCCGTCTGTCTGTCTGCAAGTCCATTCGTCCGTCCGTCTATCTAGTGAACACACCAAGTACCATCACCACGCACTTTTTCTTCATATATAAATCATATACAAGTACCGCCATCAAACGCACATTTTAGGGACTAAATGAGAGGTGGATACTTAGACGACAATGACACGGGACATACGACCCATGGCGTAAGGAGCTTCGCCCCTAAAACGCAGGAAACACACGGACCGTAAAGCTTGCGTAACCCATCTGCGCCAAACGTTCCGCAGTTGTTCCAAAAGCCCACGAATCTCTTCTCTGACAACGTGATAGAGGCAAGGCACATGGTTATCTTGCCCACACGTTTTATGACGAAGCAAAATTCTTTGTTTAAAAGAACACTAAACAGCACATTATTTTTCACATGTTTCTAACTTACTTTCCCAACAGTGAAATCAGCACGCTTGCCACGATAAGACGCTTCGCTAAACAGGAAATGTTCTAAAACAAAAAAAAATCACGTAATGTCCAAGAAGTGAATGACAATCAGCGGAACGAAGCGTCCATTCGTTTTGTCGTCTATGTGTGCGTTCGTCTGTGCATGCATCTACGCGTTCGATCGCGTTTGAGAATGCAGACGACGCGCACGTAACTTTGACGAGACGCGAGCCAAAGAACCGAGTGAGAGCATCTTCAACACGCCCACCGTTATGCTTCGTCTGTGTCCCAGCAACGATCCACCCCGTACGGTGACTATCCAGGAGACTTAGAGACACACTTGTTCTCTGCGTATGCTGGCACGGCCCGCGCAGCAGCCAATCTGAGAGTAGCTGCACAGCGCCATCTGGAGTATCTTCACATAACTGCAGTTTGCATTTAATTCTACGTGATATCAGCGTCGAGTATGCTGTTCGGGAGGTACTGCCTTTCTTTCTTTATCGTCTCTTCTTCTCGCTGTTCCGCGTGTCGCATGACAATGTTAGACCAACAGGAGCTTCGCCCCTAAATTGTGCGAAATGACGCAATATCGTGATTTCAAGCATTTTGACAGCTTCTGCTAGGGTCTACGTAATTCGAAAGTAGTGAGTCATTGATATGATTGATATGTGGGGTTTAACGTCCCAAAACCACCATATGAATATGAGAGACGCCGTAGCGGAGTACTCCAGAAATTTCTACCACCTGGCGTTCTTTAACGTGCCCCCAAATCTGAGTGCATGGGCCTACGTTTCCGCCTCCATCAGAAATGCAGCCGCTGCAGCCGGGATTCTATCCCGCGACCTGCAGGTCAGCAGTCGAGTACCGTAGCCACTAGACTACCGCGGAGGGGCGAAAGTAGTGACTATGCCATGCCTTACCCTCAAAGGACACCAGAGATATAGTATGCCACATTTGCTAATATTGTATGTAACTAATGTCACCAAATTAAATTTAAAAGAAATGGATTGAAATCACGGACCACAACATTCTGAAATTTTAGCACCAATATGAAAATCAAAATATTTACCTTGATTTTCTCGTCTAATAACTAAATCAGTCGTGTTGAAATGAACGCCAAAATAGTTACCAAAGCATAATTTATCACTCAGAACATTGCGATCTTTTATTTTTCTGTACCTTTATTATATGCAAGTCTATTGTCGGGTATTTCTTAACCTCGCGTGTTCAAATTGCCCATGTTTGTTCTCGTTGTTCCTGGGTAGATACTAAGTGTCAATCAACTGCGACACATACCCGCATACCATCGGCACATAACCACCCATGGGTATGTGCCACTCTATAGCGGGAAGTGTTTGATGAAGTACGCGATGGAATTGTGGAATTATTCGTGTCTCGACTGGCGCGTCATATTCCTCAAACTTCTTACCCTACCATACTAATTTTGGTCAAGCCAAGTTTATGGGGTGACCACGAGAGCACCCAAACGTGAGCGGCTAGATAGATAGATAGATAGATAGATATATAGATAGATAGATAGATAGATAGATAAATAGATAGATAGATAGATAGATAGATAGATAGATAGATAGATAGATAGATAGATAGATAGATAGATAGATAGATAGATAGGTAGATACGCTCAAAGTCGCCGAAGTTCGCTAAGAAATGCTTCGCATTTAAACCGACACAGTCGATGGCAAAATTGAGAAGGCAGCGTTGTTGACGACGCTCTGGCACTCTCTCTTTCACGGCTCGTTTACTGTAATAATAATCACAAAAGATTTTTATGTCGGCTCTACCGTTCCACTGACGTATGTCTGTCACGGATATGTTGCAGTAAATCACATAAGCTAAGAGAATGCAAAAAAGCTATTACGCAAAGCTGCGTCACCTGCAGTCGAACCTACGACGCTTTGCTGAACAGCACGTCGTGCAAACCGACTCGGCCCAAAAGCGAATGTTTGTTAGCTTGCTAACGGCGACCTATGGCGAGATATGGTGAAGGCTCGAGGGCGTTCTTTGAAACGCAATACCTGGCTGATTGTGATGTGCGTGCGGCTCCACAGGGCGTGATCGATCACGCGCGTGAATTTATCTCCAGATCGGGAAGGTTTTTACGTCCAGCGCCTCTTCTCTTGGGCTCTCGAAGAAAGTGTGCGTTGAAGTTACAGTGCGGACGATGCCCACTTCACTTTTTTTCTTTATTCTTAAATATCAACGCTTTTCCTCGTGGAGTTACAGCAGGGGGGTTACAGAGTGACACTGAACACTTGAACAGACGTCAAACAATTCTATCGGTTGATAGGTTTTACAAAAAAAATGAATTTGCATACAGGTTCATCCTGGCCCAGCATGGCCTTATTTTGTGTTCATGGTCTGTGCGTTGAGAAATATAATCTGTTTTTTTTTTTTGAAGTTAATGTAATCGTCAATTCCCGTTTTTATGAAATAGCTGGTATAAAAGCTTCAGACGCAAAATTTTATTACGGGGCGGCAGCAAATCCCAGTTTAACTCCTTTTTCATTTTGGTGCACTTGGGATTTTTCCCATGCCGACCCAAGACAAACCACGTCAGCGGCTGCGCTTGCAAGAGAGCGCGCTGCTCGTACATAAGTAATCATATTAATATACATTTGTTTGCGCTCACCCTGCGTGTACCAGCTTGTGTTTCATGCCTCCTTCGCAATGTTTCATCAGCACGCTTTAACTACCCAGCTGGCAGACCTGTTAGTTCGTGCTCGTCCTTTTTAGGTTTTTTCATGTGTTTTTTAGGAACGTGCTGCAAGTTTAGAGCCGCTTGTCATTCTTTGCAGGACCTTGATATTCGTTGCTATAGCATTCATCCATTTGACTTTCTGGGTAATCAATGCGCTCTCAACCCTCAACTGTTTTTATAAAAACACGTAAAAACTTTGTGCTGTGCTGATTTGTGAAACAGAGAACACTCTTGTTATTTGCTACCTAGTTAAACGTAAAAAAAAGATGTTTAAGGCCGATCCCGCCATGAAGATGTATTTATTCTCTTTAACGAGAAGTTGTGCTTTTTACAGTTAGAGAGGCCTCTTTTTAGCTTTCCTGGGCTGACTCTGAAGTGACGCAGTCAAGAAGATAGCCCGTTTGAGAAGCTGCTAGTTGCAACTTTCTTCCCAATACACTTCTTAGGCTAACTCATTTAGTCACTAGTGGTGTGAAAATTTGAACGATATGCATTATGTGCAAGTACCAATGCGCTTGAAATCATTCGGAATATTAAGCTTTATTGAAATACCACGTTTGCACAGCATCGAATTCACCGTAAAAAATAACTCAAGTCTTCTTTACGGGATATGAATGCGTATTTCTCTAAAAATATCACCGGAATATAACGTAACAGCAGGAGGAAATGTACGTCACTATCTGTATTTTATGCTTTGAAGAAGCGCATTTCAATACACGTGATCGGAATACTTTTATGAGTATTTCTGCCTAGCCTTGTAACATATACATAACCAGCAAAGTCTTTCCATTAATAAATAGTTACATGCATAGAGTGGAATTACAATGCATATGCCATAAATAAGTTTTTCGCGTATATTTCATAACATTGGGCAGGAACAGAATATCTCACCTTCCGTGGTTCTTTAGACAACGCAACATCCCTCATGAAGGCTTCACCGTAAGTCATCGGTGTAATGGCCATCAACATTCGGAACGTTGTCGTCTTTCCGGCTCCGTTAACACCGAGCAGGCCGAAGCATTCAGCTGGTCGTAATGCAAGAGAGAATTCCTTGACGGCTTGTCGCGCGCCATAGCTTTTGTGCAGCCTTCGTGCTACCAAGGTTGTGTTCGCAAAGTTTATGTCCGAGGGATTGCAGATTTCCTCCACGGCTTTCCACTCGGCGGCCACGTCTTCATCTTTGGGTATTGCCGTGTTCATTCTAAAAAAATCGCTTCTCCCTGAACGCTTTGCGGACAGGCGGTAGAGCAGATAGATATATATGAGGATGCCGTAAAGGAGCATCAAAGACATGTCGTAAAATATTCCGTCTTTAAAAGGAACGATAACATGACCGTTGTGCCAATATTCTGTTGTTTTGTTTCGGAGCGCTGCAAATACAAGAGTGAAAAACGGAATCACTGGCCTTTTATAATTGATAGTGACAGTGACAATTCAGGAACAGAAAACTCTAGTGACAGTGTGAAATTCATCTAACTGATGCATTTTCTATCACGTCTTAAGAAACACATAAAAGGAACACGCCCAAAAATGAATGTTATTATCATTTCATGACAATCAACACAATGTTAACTAGTCTTACTGTAAAAAATTAGCACGATTATCAGATTATCTTGCACTATCAATATTTTTATTGAACCACCAGAAGAACACCAAGTAGCATGCAGGCGAAGGAAGTACAATACACGAAAACACCAATTATTTATCCATCGTTTATTATTCGCTTAGTTCTTATTTTATTTGTCTGCATCTTGCATGGATACAGTTTTCAAAGCTCAGTACTGTCTTTCTCGTATATATTAACTGTTTTAGCTGTTTCAGGCTTTGGTAAGCGTTGGGATGCTAGAATATATTGTTATTTGTAATATTCGAAATCACTGAAAATACAACTTCGGTAGCGCTATGCCTGCATAACCTGTTTGTTATTTACCTGTTTGTTATTTTTTATTAGTAGGCTGGGAGTTTCCAAACTCTTTGCTCATGGGGTAATAAAGGGCAAATTTCTGGTGTTCACTGTTACTGCTGTTGGACGCTATTGCACGATGCACCTACAACACTAGAGTTGCGCTAAGTTAAGCAGTTGCGCCGTCGAAGTGCGCTTGTTGAATTATCGGCACCAGTGACACGCTGCACTCGAAGAAACTTTTATCGCTATTAGTAAGATATATCTACTTGAAATTTAGCCATGCCTGAATTTGTTTCTGCAGAGGTGGGCAAATTTTGATGTGCACACTTTTAGGAATTTTTGTTTTTTGTTCACATAATGCACGAGAATGAGAGTGAATAGATAAACGAAATGGGGGACATAGTGACACGGCCGATTTGGAAATATCTCCATTCGTAGCCTCACGCTAAAAAAGCCGTGCTTTCTATTACCACGTATGCGCACATGGAATGACAATATTGAAGTCCGAAGCAGTTAATCTGATGTTTCAGATAAACATGTCAGATATTTGTTAGGGATGCTGAATATGTGGTGTAGTAACCGCGCGCATCCATCATCACCGTTATTTGAGACAGTTGGTTATTCCACATAACAAAGACGTAATCACAACAATATAGCACTTTTTTGTCAAAATGTATCAGAGTATTAAAGTGTGGTGGCAGACACTAGCCACACATCATTACATCTGCCACAATCATCAGAATGACTACGCCGATAGCAAGAGAAAGGCATTTCTTACGTTTCCGTGAATCGAGTGCTGGGCTAGCCACGGCCACGTTCAGATGCTGGACTCTGAATTTTGCCTGCCAACCTCACCTTCTACATTCACCTAGCACGCCGCCCACAATATGGATTACCGTCGTTACCATTGATGGTGAGTGGCTATACCACATTCTCCATACACAGTCCGCGTATACTCGTTTAGCCAAATTCTTTTCAGCTTAGATATTGTTACGGGGCTGTAATCTCAACAAAAAAACCTACGGCCGCCTTGAGGCTTTTTCAACACTGTAGGCGTGGTTTGCACAGAAAATCGCGTAAAGCGTAACGGGTGGGAAGAAAACTTGAGGAACAAACGTGCCCTTGCCCCAATATTATTAAGACATCGTTCTGATGCCTTAACAGTGACTGAAAGTGCAATACTAATGTAGGAAAGCACAAATACTAAAGTACAATACAGCATTAATAACAACAACCACAAAATACAATTTTTCAGCTCGTTAACGTTCATAAAACAGCTTTAGGTGCTCGACATGAATGACTTCCGAATGAGATTGGCGCCTTTGAGAGGTCATGATGTTGTCTGGGACAACCTTGTAGTTGAGTGAGCCAAGACGTTGTGCTACCCTGTATGGTGCTACGTACCATCGCAGAAGTTTTTCGCTGAGTCCACGTCTTCGTATCGGCGTCCATACCCAAACGCGTTCAACGGGCTGGTATTCCACGAAGTGTCGCCGAAGATTGCAACGGCAGCGGTCCGTCGTCTTCTGATTCGTGATGCGCAGGTGGACGAGTTGACGAGATTGTTCACCGCGTTGATGGTACAGAGGACGTTGGGATTTTTTTCGTCAGCGACGTTAGGCAGCATTGCTCGATCATCGTTGCCTAGTTCCTTTCGTAAACCAACCTGTACGGTTGCATCTGCGTCGTCTCCTGCACGGCCTTGTTTGCGAAGGTCATGTACGGGAGCATGGTGTCCCATGTCTTGTGCTCGACGTCGACGTAAATGGCCAGCATGTCGACGATTGTCTTGTTAAGCTGCATGGTGAGACCATACGTCTGTGGGTAGTAGGCGGCGGTGCCGCGGTAGCTTATTTGGCTATGTCTCCGGATCGCTCGAGTCAAATCAGCAGTAAAGGCCGTACCTCTGTCGGTGCTGACAACCTCTGGGGCGTCATGATGAAGGACGATGTTCGCAATGAATAACTTGGCTACCTCTTCGGCGCTACTTTTGGGTAGGGCCTCTGTTTCGACACTGTGGTTGAGGTATTCAGTAGCTACGGCGATCCATTTGGTTCCCAAATCGATGTCGCTAACGGCCCCGGCAGGTTAATCCCAATTTGTTGCAATGATCGGTGCGGTGGTTCAAATAGGATGAACAAAGCCTTCTGGCCTTGTCGGCGGTGTCTTGCATCGCTGACAGTCTCGGCATCTCCTCACATTACGAGCGGCGTCTGTGGTAAGGCGCAGCCAAAAGTATCTTTTTGTATCCTCGCGAGCGTGTGGGAAACACAAGGGTGTGCTGCCGTTGTATCATCGTGCAAGGCATAAAGAAGCTCAGGTCGCAGAGCTAAAGACACCACAGAAGGTACTTGGCTCGTAAGGCGAGAAATTCTTCTTTTGAGAAAGCCGTTCAGCAGTGAAAACAATGTAAGTGCCTGTTTGAATTTTTTCAAACAATGGAGGTCCTGCCCTCGAGGTATTCAATCAGGCTCCTAAGTTCCGTATCAGCGCGCTGGTGTTCAGCGAAGTCACCGGCAAATATTGTTCCCAAGAAGCAGTCGTCATTCAGGTCTTCGGGATGTGGTAGGTCGATAAGGGCTCACGAGAGGCAGTCTGCGTCGGAGTATCTTTTCCCGGACTTTTAAACGGCGATAATCTCGTGTACTTGAAGTCTCAGGCTCTGTCGCGCAAGGTGACCTAAAGAATCGTTTAGGTTAGCTAGCCAACACAAGGCATGGTGGTCACTCACAACTTTAAAGGGCCTGCCGTAGAGGTAAGCCCGAAAGTTCGACGTCGCCCAGATGATGGTAATTCACTCCTTTCTGTCGTGGAATAACTGCTTTTTGCCTTGGATCGCAACTGGCTAGCAAAACTAATATTCCTTTCCAGTCTATCAGTTCTCTGCATAAGGACGGCACAGAGTCCTACGCTACTTTCGTCAGTGTGTACATCTGTTTCGGCGTTTTTGTCAAAATACGCGAATATGGGAGGCATCTGCAGGCGGTGTTTTAGTTCTCCAAATGCTTTCCTTTGTAGTGTCACCCACTTGGTTTCGACGTCAGTTCTCGTAAGGCTACTGAGGTCGTCGTACGGGAAGGAGCACTTTTCTGGTTTTAGGGTGAGTCCCGAAGCCTTGATGACCTAAAGTGCAGCTTTAAGGTGCCGAAGATGCTTGTGGAAGCTTGAGCAAAACACAACATCGTCCGAAAAAAAAAACGAAACAATTCTGCCACTTTGATCCTGCTAGCACTGTGTATAAAACACGTTGAAAAGGCGCAGGTGCCGAGCAAAGACCAAAAGGCATAAAATTGCACTCGATAAGGCCATCTGGTGTAATAAACGAAGTTTTTTCTCGGTCTTGCTTGTCTAAATTGATCTTCCAATAGCCTCTTTTGAGGTCTATCGACGAAAAGTATTTGGTGCTGCGGAGTGACTCAAGGGCGTCGTCTATGCGGGTGAAAGGGTATACGTCCTTTTTCTTTGTGTTGAGTCGTCGTAGAGTCGGTGATAGTCAGCGCAGAAGTGTAGTGTTTCATCCTTTTTCTTTATTGACACCACCGGTGACGCCCTTGGACTTTTTGAAGATTGAATAATGTCATCACGGAGCATTTCGTCAACTTGTTTTTTTCATGGCCTCGCGTTCTGGTGTCGAAACTCTGTACGAACTCTGTCGGACTGGCCTGGCATTTTCTACTATTACAATTCGATGTTTCCCGAGAGGTGTCTGTCGAATTCTCGATGACGACGAAAAGCAGTTTTTGTATTTTAGGAGCAGCTTTTTGACCTGCTCTTCTTTATGCGTCGCAAGGCTCGGATCAACGTCCAATGCTGCTTGAAGGGTTTCAGTCGTCGTAGATTCGGTTGAATCGATGAGGGCGAAAGCGTTGCTGGCTCTTTGATGTAGGCAACCATCGTGCCTTTGCTCACGTGCTTGTACTCGTTGCGGAAGTTCGTGAGCATCACTCTTGCGTTCCTTCCTCGCAGCTCAGCTATTTCTCTGGCGACGCAAATTTCGCAGTTGATCAAGAATTGTCGGTTGCCTTCAACTACGCCTTGCATGTCTGTTGACTTTTCAGTGCCGACAAAAATACTGACGCTGGAGCGAGGAGGAATGGTGACTTGGTCTTCCAGCATACTAAGGGTGTGCTGTCCTGACGACGTGTGCGGCGGCCGTGCTTTTTTTGTGAATAGTGTTACTGACTTTGTTCTCAGGTCGATGGGTTAAGAAGTACATACCAAGGATGACATCACTCGAGCGATGCTGCAGTACGATGAAGCTTGTAGGATAAATCTTACAGTTATTGGTGACTCT